CGCGTTTTATCGCTAACTTGATATAAGTTAAATAAAATTGCTAATCCAACAGAATGTTTACACGAATATACTTTCATAACAACCGGACAGCTACATGATTCTAATGGTACAACAAGTTAACAAGATTGTTTCACCAGAAAATCATTGCATGTGTCATTGGCTAAATATTTATAGTTCTCGTCAATGGCTTGCATTCAATGATTTTCTTTCAATATTTGGTGATCAAAAAAATTGATATCCTTATTTTTGCCTGAGGATGTAAATCATTTTATTTGTACAGAAATAGGGTATGCATTAGAGCATGATTGATGTTATTATATCTTTTTATTTATTTCTGGTTGTTTTTTCTCATTCTTGTTGCCATTTTCCTTCAATTATATGAATCATTATCCGATGTTTAAGAAATTTAGTTTTTTCTATTACTATTTTTTTTTTGGAGTTTATCTGTCAATGTTTTTCACTTATGATGAAACCTTTTCAGATGTCAACCGACCACCGATTTCCAGGATCTTTTGCTCATAGATCCTACATAGTGGCCTAGCAAAACTCTAAAAGGATTTGAGCCTCTATTGGTTCATTCAAAAGTTATGAATTTTTCTATTTTACCGATACAGTGCATTACAAAAAAACATTGAAAAATTCATAACTCAGTACTAAATGTCTATTCTAAAGGTCTATTAGGGGTTGCCACAGGAAAAATATTTAGTCCGTCATACCGTGTTTCCACTGAGTTATGAATTTTTCAATGTTTTTTGTAATGCACTGTATCGGCAAAATAGAAAAATTCATAACTTTTGAATGAAGCAATAGAGGCCCAAATTCTTTTAGGGTTTTGCTAGGCCACTATGTAGGATCTATGAGCAAAAGATCCTGGAAATCGGTGATTGGTTGACGTCTGAAAAGGTTTCCTTGTTAGTTAATCTTTAAAATATAATGGGTTTACCATAAAATGAATATTACTAATACTCTTTATTTTCTCATCTGGATCTTTTTTGTACACGAAAATATTCTCACATGATTTTTCTGGATTTATTTGTATTGTAGAGCTTTTCTAGATAGAAACCAACGACGTTTTGCTGTGAAAGCTATAGTGCTATATACTTCTAGTAATTATCAGATATGACCCGCTATTAGACTTTTTATTATTATTTATTAAGTTCTGTTATCATTTTGAGCTAGGTTCTTCTGCTCGCCTTTCTTTGTTAGGAAATTCAGCAATGTATAATATTAAAAAGTTATCCCGGTGCGTTTCATGAGCTATGAGAGTAACTGTTTCCTTTTTACCGCGTCCGTTACTTTTGAACGTTTTCCTCATATCATTTCAGCTGCGTTTCAAGTATAACATCATCTTCGTATATCACTGACTCGGAGCTATAGTGAGAATGTTAGAGTTGACGCAAACTTCTTGTATTCAGATACCAAACCATTGTACAATTATGATGCTGATCTATACGATGATATACATGTATGCAACTGAACTCAAGATTATCATTCAACCAGAAAGAGATCAAACGAAAAAAATGAAGTTATTTTGCGATACGACCATCAAAACGTGTTTTACTAAATCAGTGTTTTGCAAAGTGACAAGAAAGTCTATCAACTTCAGCGCCAACATCGGAAACTCTACGGGCAGTGAAACACCGAAAAACCAACACAAAAGCGAATGAAATATCAAAAAGTAATTTATCAATTCATAATTGCTTATGCTTTTCTCCTTCTTTTTTGTGGATATTAAATGGACAGAATTTAATACAATGTGTGATTCCACTCAAATGAGCCACGGAAATTATTATATACTTATGTTAGAAAATTTTATTAAAAATTCGAAATCTAAAACGGGATTTCCGATGGTGAACGATTAAGCATCATCAACGGTAAGCGAGTATGAAGTCTAAAAAGCTCAAGGATCAATGTTTTTAATTTTCAATTGTAGAAGCAATTCAGGTGTGCTATTTCAACGACGATGTGCAGAGATCGGATGTGTTTTGGGCGCAAGAAGATAGAAAATGTCTCAATGATCAACGTCGAGGTGAAAAATTTCGTCAATCAAGAAAGGCGAGGTAACTGGATAGGTGGTAACTGGATTTGCTGTTGAAAGTACAGAAAGATTTGTATTTTTTCAAGTTTCTTTTGCACTATCTTCTCTTTCTCATCTCTGGTTTTTGATGTTTGCTGTTTTCACTTTTACAAACGTCTGTATGTAAACTAGTTAATCAAAATAGAATGAGAATGTAAGCGAAATAAATAACTATACAAAGAAATTGACTTTATTTATAGACGTAGAATGGAAGTAACAACAGCAGCATTTCCGAATCACAAATACATAGGAACGTTTCTATTACCCACCTATGTGAATAAATTTTCTATTATTTTCAGTAGTTATAGTATCGGAAGGCTAGGTGCTAGATCTAACTAATTGCATGCATATTGACAGAGCTTGTCTCCTTCCACTGTGAAAACTAAGAATTTCTGTCTACAGTACAATTTAGGATTTCATCAAATCCCACAACTGCGGTGTAGTGGCAGAAGTTATATAAGTATTTACTGTCCCAAAAAAACACGAATCAAGTGTAAAATTCTATGGATGAAGCGGAGAACGACCACATTTGAGAATTTTGACCACGCATAAAACATGATAATGCTGCACGTCATCCGTAGAATTTTACATTTCAAGTTTGGTAGAATACACAGAATGATTTCTTTATCCTTGAAATATGGAAATATTATGCATGAAGTGCGGTATCCGTACTATGCTTCACTGTGAAACAGTTTGTGCTTTTTTTGTGACATGCCTCAAGCATTGTAAGACTATAACAGATATATTTATCAACCAACCTCGTGTGAGAAGTGCCGAGACAGAGCCATATATGTCTTTGTCAGTGTGGTACTGAAGTAATTAATACTAAATAAAAAATGAAAACTGAAAATAAAATTCACTAATTAACTGCTTTTCATTTCTGAATATCCCTGCTGATCTAATTTTTATTCTGCAGACCTCTAGTTAAGGAAAGATATCTCTTCCATTATTTTTTCTGTGGTTGTGTATCATCAGATGACAACGACCCCTACAGCATATTCTATATGTATCACTTATTACAGGCTGAATGTTTACATCTAAGAATACACGAACGAAAGGCTTTTTCGCCAATGACTGTTAGATAAAACAAATAATCTGCGTAATTCACAGTATCCACCTCGGGCATGCAAGATTAGTGCATGTCTCTTGATTGACATCCATCTGTATATTATACATTCGCCTTGCAAGTTGCATGTCTGAAAATGTATGAGACGTGCCTGTGTTTGTGAATGTACAGGCAACGTACGTATCAAGAAATTGGTCTCGGGGAGTGCTGATATATTTTCTCACTAAAATACTACAAACCAATGAGAAAAGATGATACTTTAGCGACAGACGATTGAAAGACGACCTGGAACTCAAAAAATTGATGAATCAAATTTGTTCTTTTCCTTTTTTATATGTGTGACAGCGGCCATTTTTGACGGAAAAAATTGACGGCTAGCGGGAAACAACCTTGAATTAATTGTCCTTCGTTTCCTAGTTAATAATTAAATTATGCGTTGCATCTAAGTTAAAGTAAATGCATAATTGTTCAATCGCTTCTGGGATTGACGTTTGGAAAATTATTATTCATTTTGAAACTCAGTGTGTCACAGTTCTTTTATGAACAACTTCTGATAGGATAGTACCCGATAGCCGTGTTTTCAACCATTCTATAGCAAATACTTCATGCATGTTCCATAGGAAACTATGATTTGTTTTCAGAAAAAGTAGGAAAACCTCGTGATACCGAGTGACCATTAAAATAACCTATTTAAGCTCTGAGCATAAGGATCGAAAAAGAAAAAGTTGATCATATTCAAAATCCAACCGCGTTCCTTGGAACGTGCGAAAAATGCTTACTTTATCCATATAGTCAAAAGTATGAAACTTTTAATTTTCTTTGTGACAGATCTTTCAAGTCCCTGGAAAAGCTTCTTCAGAATAAAGAAGTTAGAGCGTTGTTTGCAGCATTCTATTCAGTAATGGATATAATTATCCAATCATACATTGAACTTTTCAAGTAATTGGCTTTTGAATGAATTACAGTTTTTAATTCTTTGACGGTTATAGGTTATTTCTAAGCCCATTTTCACCAGATATTCAGGATTTTTTCTATCAACCAACATAGTGAGAAATAAAGATAATCTGAGGTTACTTAGAAGTTAATTAAGATGCTGGTTCTGAAATATTCAAAAAAAATGACATTAGAACTAAACCATAATGAATTAAAGGTTTGGGTTAATGCGACCGTGTCTCTAGACTATTAGTCATGCTTAAGAGATCTCTAAAAATATTTGGCAATTTTTTGTATCCCTCATGGTTTTTCTAAGCTCCTTAGGTAGAACACCCTTTCGAAAAGATTTTAAACTCTAAGTTTCCATAGTAGGGTGCGCTGGAGCCTTAGTCAGAAAATGGCGCAGGTATCTATCAAACACTCATAAAGATATCTGTGCCTACTGTTACATTAAACAGATTATAAGACAACTACCCACATAAACACGACTGAGTAAGCTTGAGTTCTCTTCATCATTTTCTGCTGAAATCTCAGCTGTATGCGTACCATTCTTCCAAAAATGACCGTAACACTTAAGAAAGCTGTCGATCAAAGTTCTGAATTTCGTTCAATCTTGAGATGATAATATGTTCTATTCCTGACTTGTCAAATCCAGATTTCATGTATAGTAGAAGCTACTGATTAAATTGAAACCTTTATAGTGTTTAGGCAATGATTTGAGCATTGTGCCACGATATTTTTAACTAAAATTTCGGTCTGTTTTTAATGTTTTCTTATCTGATTTACATTTCTGTTTGCTTTTTCTTTCTAGACAGTTTTTGTAGTAGTCTTTATCAAAAAAAAGATAATCAAATGACTTACTAGAAACATCAAGTCCTATTTGGTGGAATCAATAAGAATCTCTTTTTTTCCATTTCGTTAAACATGATCTCATCAAATGACCCACCACCACCGCCTCTTACCAGTGATCGTACAACAGATAGAATTCTATTAGAACTTCCGCAAGGTTTACACAATACAATGGCGTTAATATCACTAGCAATCTGGTATATATCAAGTGAGCTCTTTTGTATCTGTCTTGTTGAAGTGAGCAGCATTTTGTTTGTTTGTTTTTATCTTACAGGTGGCATCACATTATTTTCAAATAAATACATTTTAAGTAGTATGGATGGTAAAGCATTATCGTTGGGTATGTTTTATCGAACTCATTTTAGATCGATATTGTCCTCTTGTGTTTTAGGTATGAATCAATTAGTTGTGAGTTTTGTTAGTGGTTTTGTTCAACTTCAAATAATGAATCGTATATATCCAAATATTCATCGTAAAGAACAATCCTTGCGTACTATCGTACGTGAAATGTTGTCCCTTGGAGCTTTTAGGTAGTATTATAGATTGATTACTAAATACACACACGTACAACAATAACATATCTTTTCTCTTCTATTTAGATATTTGACAGTCATTCTGGGTCTACTGGCTTTACAGTATATCGCCGTTTCATTTGTGGCCACAATTAAATCATCGTCTCCATTATTTACAGTTATTATTAGCAGAATTATTATTGGGGAGAAAACAGGTGAGAAGATATTACTCTACTCAATTTCTTCTATTTGATCAAATGTTTCTTTACTCTTAGGACATTGGACCAAGTTATCAATGTTACCCATCACATTTGGTTTAGCTCTTTGTAGTTCATTTGAATTGAGTTATAATATTCTCGGATTTATATGTGCACTCGGCACAAATGTATTTGAGTGGTGAATAATCAAATGATCCATTTATCTTCTAGTTCTGTTGGATCTTTGTTTAGCTTGCTCAATGTTTATTCAAAATTATTGATTAGTGGTGAACGTTATCGTTATACGTAAGTGAATTTATAAACATACGGATTTTATTCTGACTGGAAAAATTTATCGAATCCCTATTGAGAGATTTCTCACTTCTTGCTAAGCCATCGTCGTTCAGTACGTCTAAACTAGCAAACTGATAAAACAAAATTGCGCTTCCTTACTTAGTTTATTAATTAGCAATAAAAAATCAATCCGTGTTAATGTTGCTATCCATTTTAGAGTAGAATGTACTCGATCGTTTTAAAAATAATTCACAATAGAACATAATGAGAAAAACTTCGGGCTTCCATTACTTTGTAGTACAAGAGTGGATCTATCTGCCTCTCATGCTCAAACCCCATGTCTGACATATGTCATATGGGTCGTATCAAACAAAATTCTTTGAATCTGTGATTTTGACCAATCTCATTGGACTTTCTACGTCTACATCGAACGATATTTGCGCTTCAAACCTATGCAAGTCCAAAATCTCTAACATTTCCCGTTTAGACGCAGAAAAGATTTTCACGTACCTTTCGACACTTTTCAGGCCACACAAAGGCCACACAATTCAAGATAAATCGTGCGATAAATGAGACACCTAACAACATAGGTGGTCAGTCATTGGTAATGCTGGTTTCATAACAGATTGAAAAACCTAGTGAGCAGAAATATGAAAGAAAGTATTCATCTCCACTAAAAGCACACAAAAATAAAAATCATTTCTCACTCAAAATCCAACCTAGTCATTTGAAACTTCAGAACATAGTCAAACGGGTAGATTACATATTTAGAATACTTAATGATTCTCCTCTACATTCATTCTTTTTCTAACGATGGTTTTCTATTGAGCTCCTAAAGTTCTCAGGAATAGAAAACCAACACTTTTACTTTTCTAGCTCTGTCAATATGCCATCGGGGTAAAACGAAGTATTTTTCGTAGTTGTTAAAAAATTCGTTTGTTTGTTGTTTTCTAATCCATCGTGGCAGCAGAGACTAGCACAAGTTGAGAAAAATTAACCTTAGCATTAAGCTCACTCAGATAAAAAGCAGGAAGGTGATTTCAATGTAGAGGAATGTTTCTCTTGTAGACAGAAACTAATCAACTGGATTTGTGAATACAGTTGTTTTGAAATAAGTATCTTAACTGAAAATTTCAGGAGAGGATACTTTCAAGCCGAAACAGACGTTTTAGTATGAATCATTCTGAACACAACCAAGTACATTCTATTTTGAAAGAAACTTGTAGTAATTAGTAATTTCTTTTCTTTTGTGCATTTGAGGCCTGTTGAACTTCAAGTTTGGACAAGTTTAGTTGCAAGCTGTTTGCAATTACCTTTGATATTGTATAATGTGGATATGACATCGGCACTTTATAAAACACCAACACCATTACTTCTCATGTATATATTGAATGGTCTATCTTATCATATTCAATCGGTTTCAGCTTACGCTGTTATGGCTTACATTTCACCCATAACACACAGGTACGATAAACAGAGACAGGATGATACGAGTAAAAAGCATTTTTTGTGGTTTTAAGACCGGATAATCGCTTTAAATTTTGATTGTGTACAATCAAAATATCCTACAGTAGATTGACTGGTATTATGTGATAGTCAGAGCAAACTGTCTGAGAAAATCGAGGTGGGAGAAAATTTTCTCTACAACTGAGTGTAAAATATTTTTATATGAGGGGATATGGCGTGATTAGTGTCCTGCATCGGGTTTCTTTCCGATTTGACTAAACAGTGAAATTAAAATTCGTCTCGAAAGAGCAAATTTGTCTAAGGTGTACGTTCGATAGAGAAATGTTTCCGCTTTCGAATGTGGTATTTTACGTGAAAAAAGGTTTCACTGATTTTTCAAATTTTTCACGGGTTTGGACTGCTAGCAGCACGTCAGTGAAA